ATACTGTACAGTGTGACATTCTGTCTGTGTGTGTTACTGTCTGAATACCGTACAGTGTGACATTCTGTCTGTGTGTGTTACTGTCTGAATATCGTACAGTGTGACATTCTGTCTGTGTGTGTTACTGTCTGGATATCGTACAGTGTGACATTCCGTCCATGTGTGTTACTGTCTGAATACTGTACAGTGTGACATTCTGTCCATGTGTGTTACTGTCTGAATACTGGACAGTGTGACATTCTGTCTGTGTGTGTTACTGTCTGATACTGTGTGTATCTAGACAGTGGTGTCAGTTACCATAGTTGCCTAGACGGCTGGATTGCAATGCAGAGTGATGGTGACAGCAAGGGTTCATTTCCTGCACTGGCTGAGTTTACCATGAAGGACTCTGCTTCTCAACTTCTTCCCTAACGTGAGGCATGGTGACCTTCAGTTAAGCTATCACCAGCTGTCTGTCTCAAATGAGAGCAGTTCTGTGCTGTATATGACAATGGCCCCTTTATGTTTCCTGTCTGGGCATTGTTGCAAAGAGTAAAGTACACGTCGATTGGGAGGCAGGAAGTTAGAATTTGGTGTTTATAAAGTGCAAGGAGGGAAAGCATTGCACGGTCCCTTTAAAAGATGATTTTCTTTTGTGCTTAGAGATTTAACATGGATATCTGTGAGCAGCAGCTTGAAAGTTTGCAAGTACAGAGAGAGCACCCGAATTGAAACATTTGTATTGTAAGGTCATATAGGTAACGGGCCAAGCAGCAGCTTTTACCAAGACATCAGGCTTTTGAATTTAGCCAATCAATTTGAACCAAGCACTTAGCTACCAACAACCAATTAAATTTAAATCTGATGGTTTTGACAAATCGGACAAATCCTATTGTAAGAAATATTGAAATGTCATCAAGGGTATAAAAGAAGGGGGCAGTTGGACAAGGGCAGAGGCTAGCTGCCATCTGCCAGAGCTAACAGCCCTCAGCTCTTGAGAGAGAATCGCTGGCTCTCACAGTCTCCTCTATGTCTTAGAGAAAACACCATCGAAATAACAATGGTACCCACGGCATGACTAGTTAATATTCCTGACAGAAGAGTCGACACAGAAGGCACAGAACATTCTGGAAGACACGTAACCTGGCTGTAATTTCAAGAGACTAAATTCTTTTTATATATATGCGGAACTTGTATTTATTGGAACAGCGTACCATTAGAATCTTGCTTTATGCGGGAATAGTTAGTAGTTGAAAGGGATTTATTTAGTTTGTTAATAATTTAATTAATTTGTCCACTGTTAGATAAATAAACTGTTACTGTTGATTTTAAAGTGAGTGTCAGGGATTTATTCCTATTTAACCACGAGAAAAAAAGGTGACACCACTTTTCACACTCCTTTTACAGATTATAGGGTGAGGTGCTCCTGTTTGGGTGTTTTGGTTTTAGTCCTCAGAGGGGCACAACTTCCACTTTCTAACAGCATCGTACAGTAATTAAATCATCTATAGTATTGTTTATATTTTGTACTGAGCAACTCAGGTGATATTTATATCTGGTAATATTTATGTAGTTGTGGACATGTACCAACATTCAATTCTGCCCAGTGATTATGGGAGAGGCTAAGTGCAAGATTTTGAATAGGTCACTTCAAGACAGGTTGGGACTCTCTGAAGTTCCAGGAGTTCGAAGTGGGAGCTGGGGGATAAAAGACGGGGGTGGATTCCATGCCGGAGTGCTGCAGTTAGCTGTACTGCTGGGAAGGTAGGTGAACTGCACAGTTTATATCGGGGTCTCAGTGAGCAGTCGAGAGCAGTCGGGTGGCTCTCTGCTGTCAGGACTCAAGAAGCTGTTCTCGGCAATAGTAGCTCACTGCGTGTATGTTCAAAGTAGTTCTGGGAGCTGCTGGGTTGGGAGCCTGAGAGACAGTGAGATTTGAAAAGCTGACAAGCAGCTTTTGCGTGATGTAACTGATTAAGATTGGAGCTCAGGTAGAGGGTGAAAAACGGGGGTCGGACTGGCTTGGTGAAGCTAGCTGTCTGAGAGTTTGAACAGGCTGCGGCTATTTTCACTGGAGCATGGGAGGCTGAGGGGTGACCTTATAGAGGTTTATAAAATCATGAGGGGCTGGATAGATGAATAGCCAATGTCTTTTTCCCCAGGGTAGGCCAGTCCAAAACTAGAGGGCATGGGTTCAAGGTGGGAGGAGAAAGATTTAAAAGGACCCTGAGGGGCAACTTTTTCACGCAGAGGGTGGTGTCTGTATGGAATGAGCTGCCAGAGGAAGTGGTGGAGGTTGGTACAATTACAACATTTAAAAGCCATCTGGATGGGTACATGAATAGGAAGGGTTTAGAGGGATATGGACCAAATGCTGGTAAATGGGACTAGATCAGCATGGACAAGTTGGACCAAAGGGTCTGTTTCCGTGCTATACATCTCTGACTCGAGGTATACTGTTTGATCACAGTCTAATATCCGTTTTAGGTGATAATTTTAGGTGCTAGTGATAAGTTGTACATTGTAAGGAACATATATTTTCCCTTTTGGACTATAAAGTGGAAAATGGAATTTGAACACATACAGCTAAAAGCAGCAGGGCAATGTTTGCAACTTGAGGATCAGATGGGATTATGTGGCATACAATTCAGCTACACAAGATTGTTAATTTTTGGAGCCTTGACATGAATACACTGTCAGACAGAGTGACATCTGAGTTAAGGAAATGCTGCCTGACAACAGCCTTTAGCTTGGTCCAGCTGTAGTTTTACAAAGACCGAAGGAATAGTGGTCCAGAATTCTGATACAGGCGACAGTTAAGGATGTTCGTAGTTCTATGCTAAGGTGGAGTGAGATTTGGAGGGGAAATTGGAAGTGATGGGTTCCCATGTCTCTGTTCCGTTTTTTGTACTTCAGGTTCGGAATCAGATGCAACACCATTCTCCCAGGATTTATTGATACCCCCATGGCAGGGAAAGTCCCTGAGAAGGTACTGGACAAGGTAAGAACATGTGGTGGAAATAGCAAGGGTTGCAATTCCTCACTTAGATGCATCATTCCTTTCTCCTGTATTCTTATTGCACACTGTTCCATAAACCCTTGGACAGTACACTGTCCCACACACACACCGGGAACAGTACACCGTCCCACACACACACCGGGAACAGTACACCGTCCCAC